TAGAAATGTTGGGATCTACGCTAATTCTAAACCTCAGCTCCCAGATAACTGGAAGGATGTAGAGTCTTATAAGAGTTCAAAACCTTAAAGAATATTAAATGCACTGATGTGTGACTTAAGAGTTCCGAGGTAAGGAACAAAAAGCTCGAATATGGTACACCGTTGCGATTAGGTACACCCTGTATAATCATCAATCACTATTCGCAAAATCAAAGTATGTGCTCTCTCAAGTGCCCATGTTACTGGTCCAACGAATATGGATTTCCAGCTTTACCAACGAGAAGGTCTGTACTAGGACGATTTTTGTTTGTAAGGTGAAACACGACGTTCACTCAGAAGCAATTATAAGTGTAGGAGTTAACAGAAGATTTGGAAGACTTGGGTTCTCGCAACGCTTTAGCCAATTACGTCTGACAAACGATGGGCCAAGCAATATTACTTTGCAAAGCTACCCACTTTTAGTAATTATTACCAAATCACTCGTTTTTTTTTATATATAAACACCTACTGTGTTTATACCATTGGAATCTGGTCAAAGCTGACAAATTATCAATTTTTATCTGTCTTAATTTACTAAAGGATGCATCTAGGAGTTCACCCTATGACGTCCTCTTATTTATCTAACAACTATGCCCTAATACCTAACATGCAATTTTAAAACACAGCACTTTGCTCTGCTTTTACACTAATTACACTAACTCAAATGGTTTTGTTTGTTTGAGTCTTCTTTCTAACCCAGTATTATCGAGGAGCTGGATGGCCTCGATCTTTACGTGTTTATGAAGCCGTTGTTCGTGACTACCTGCCATCTTCTTGATAATTTTATTTACATCTTCCATCTCAAGGCTCTTGTGGTGGTCGACATTCTAATGTACCAAGCATCAATAGAGGATCAACGATGTTCCTTAGTACTTTATTCTGGAATCTCTGGATTATCTGGATATAACTTTTATTAGCACAGCCTCTAAGCTGGCAACCATACATCCATACGGGTCTCAGTATTTGCCTGTATAACAGTTGTTTGTTATATGTGGATAAAACTGAATTTCTTTACATCAGCCAATGCAATTTCTTGTAACGGATACCTAGTTTTTCCCTATTCTTTTTGATATGGGCTTTCCAGCAATGCTTTGCATCAAGTGTGATACCCAAGTATTTTGTAGTAGATGCGTTCGGCATTTGGGCATCATATTATAATTGTAATGTTTTGAATTTTTTTTGTTTGTAAAATTAACGTGAATTGATTTAGACTTGTTTAGTTTGATTTTCCGTTTTTTTTCCACTTGGATTTTATCTATTGACAACTATAATTTGTCTGCTGCTTCTTCACTGGTATCACGTAGTGCTAGAATGGCAGTATCATCTGCAAAGGTGGTTATAGCATCATTTCATAGTTCAGGTATGTCGCATGTGTATAACAGGTAGAAGACCGGACCTAATACACTTCCTTGAGCCACTCCTGCTTTAATTTCTTTTAAATCTCTTTTGCTTGATTCTGAAGTATTTATCAGTTATGTATGCTGTAGAATTTCTGAATATTGTCTGGAAAAGGATTTCAGTTTATACAATAAACCTTTATGCCATACTTTACCGAATGCCTTAGCTATGTCTAAAAATATTGGAGAACAGATTTTCTTTTCTCTAACAATTTCTTAATTATGTTAGTAATTCTATGTACTTGATCAATAGTAGAGTGTTTATTTCTAAAGCCAAATTGGTTGTTTGGTATCAGTTTTCTCTCTTCTATTATCGATTTTATTCTTTTTAGCAAGAGTTTTTCGAACAGCTTTAACAACACTGGTAAGAGTAATATTGGTCTGTAAGAAGGGACTTCTGTTGGTGACTTCCCTGGTTTTGGTATCATTATTACCTCAGCTTTTTTCCATAAATTTGGGAATCTAAAAGCAGCATTAATTAGATGGTTCAATTTTACTATCGCTTTGCGAGGCAAATTTTTTAGTAATTCTCTAGTAATTAGATGGTGTCCTGGGGCTTTCTTCAAATTTATGTTTTCTTTATTTCATCAGCTACTTGTTTTGGTGATGTTGGTCTGATTGCAATTTCTGATCTGATTAGGCTCTATCCATATTTGATCAATAATTTGGTCTTCATGTGGTTTGAATATATTTTCTAAATATGTGACAAATCTCTCTGTCTTTTGCTTATTGTTCCTGGCCCAATTACCATCAATCAAATTAATGGGTGGAGAATGGATTACTGGTCGTTTTAGCCTTTTCGTTGCTTTCCATAGAGAGTATTTAGTGCTTCTACCATCTGTCAATTCTCTCAAATAAGAACTCATTGATTCATTTTTTATATTTTGATTTTTTAAGCTTTTGAGTTCAAATTCATTTTATCTTGAGGAGCTCTGGTTACTTACCACTTCCTCGTCGAGGAAGTCGAACAATCAACTTAAGTGTACACATAATTCAATTTTTTCTTCAAGGGTTGATTTCAAACTTTCCCAGTCTGTAAATTTGTTGGTTAATATTGGATAACACTCCTTTCTAATAATCGTGTCACTCAATGTGAGCATTATGGGTGAATGGTCTGAGTTCATATCCCAACAATCATCAATATCTACATAATTGGCTGAGATATTTTTAAGAGTGAAAAAATCAATTAAGTCTTATATCTTCTTCCCAACACTTGGACAATGCGTCGGTCTACCCGTTGATATTGGTTAACATTTCTGTTCTTTTATGCCTGCCAGCAACTCGTTCCCTTTTGGTGTTGTTAATCTTGATCCCCATTGAGTGCGCTTTGCATTAAAGTCACCTCCAATGATATATCTTTTTCCCGTGCTATTTAGCTATTCTTCATACTGTTCTTTTTTTTTATGGAATGCTTAAGGGGGATATACATTGAGCTTATAGTAATTTCGCAATTAATTTTGAGCTTGACACATACTGTGGTTGCTTGTGTGTGTTCAGTTTCATATTTTAGCTCCTCATAATGCTGAATATTCTATTTTATTATTATTGCGCTGCCTCCTTTTGTCAGGATGTATAGTGTGGTATATCTTGCATCCTCTAAATTTTATGAAAATTGTTTAGTGAAATGTGTTTCGGATATGAGACACAAGTCAACTTCTTCTATGTCTAGGAATACTTGTAGCTCATTTTGATGTGGTAGCAGTCCATTAGCATTCCATTCCATAATCCGTTACTGCTTAGCCATTTCTAATTTTCGATATAGCACTTTTAGCTCTATGTTTCAATCTGGTCACTCTCACTTCTATTTGGGTTATTGTGTCCTCTATCTTAATGAGCTTTTCTAATATTATTTTCAATGTACTGTCGGTTTCGACTTCTTGATGCGACTGTTGTATTGTTTACTACATCACTGTACTTTTTAGTTTCAGTGACATCTTGCATTTTTGGTTTTTCCTTCACATTTCCCCTTTGTGGGGTTTTGGAGCACTTTCTTTACTTATCCTCTGATTTCTCAGCTTTTGTAATTATTTAGCTACATAATATATGCGGTAATTTGCAGTATAATTTTCGCCACAATGGATGCATTTTGGTTTGTCATCTGGTGGTTTTTTACAATCTTTTGTAAGGTGCTTAGAATCACTCATGTACATTAAAACGCACTATACTCTACTTTTGAACTAATCACTACACGAACTTAAAGAACTTTATTCTCTTTAGTCTTCGTACAAACTCGTTATTATTTAGGAGTTAAAGAGCCTTGATATTCACATGTTGATAATGTTGGCACAATTCCTTATTATTTATTCCATAATCTTCATATTCAAGTTTCGGTGAATAGCTGTTTTTAACGTACAAAGGAAATTGGCGCTGGTCTTTTACACTTGTTTTAAAAGTTTTGTATCTTTAAAATATTTTTTATGCTGACATAGCCCCAAAGTTTTTTTTTAAGCATCCAGTACAATTTTTAAAGTTGGAGCTTTCAACAATGTGTAGCATCAAGATGCATACCCGCAAGTACATCGCAAAATGTGCAACATGGTTCTGGGTGTTATTTATTTTATTTGACACATACTGCTCTTTCTTTTTTATAAAATTCACATCCACTGATTAGGTCCAACTAAATTGTATCCTCCATTTTTTGGTCAAATTATCGATCATCTTCACTGAAGTTTGTAGAGTTATTGCAGCTTATTCATGATTAGTTCCCACTTAAAAAACAGCTTTGTCGTACGCAAATACTATAATTGTTACATTTTTGACTTTGCATGTATCGATGGTATATAACAAGTAAAGAAATGGGCTAAACACACTTCCCTGTGGCACTCTTGATTTGATTTTTTTTAACTCTGCGTAGGGATCCTCATGATTTATTCTGAAGTATCTTTCAGTTGAGTAACCTTACCAGAAAAATCGTCCTAGCACAGACCTTTTCGTTGGAAGAGTTGGGAATCCTAATTCATTAGATCAGTAATACGGGCACTTATTAGAGCAAATACTCTGATTTGTCAGATGTTGATTGGTGATTGAACTCTTATAAGACTATACACTCTTCCAGTTTCCTAAGAGCTTAGGTTTAAGAATTAGCGTAGATCTCAAAATTTTTAAGTAGTGAGTAAGTTATTGTCTTCTTCTCATCCAGCTAATTCCAATCCTTTTCGCCACAATTGAATGTAAATATGGTTTTCAGATTTATTTATATTAATGAGAGCGGATAATATATTAATATGTCAGTGTAAAAGACACGTCTAAGAAGGTGTTTTAATAATAAATAAAAAAAATCTAGTACTTTTCTTGTATTTTACTGTTGGGTTTTAATTATTGTGTAGAAATTTTTATGAATGAAATAAAATGAAATGAATTTTACAATTTCATTCATATTAAATATATTTATTATATTATAATAAGTTGTGTAATCTCACCACATAAATAAATATAAGTAGGAATGTGAGGAAGTATAAGTAATCAAAGATTTTTTATTCAAGTGTTGTTATCTTTCAAGTAGTCCAATTTTTTGTATATAAAGCTGAACCACCAGTCCAAATTATTTTAAAAAAATTCTCAAAAATGAAGACTACCTTAGTTTTGTTTTTGTTGGTTTGTGTCGGTAAGCTTTTAGAAAATTTTAGTATTGTATTTACGTTTTACAATTTTTTATTATTTTTCCCTTTTTGTATGTAAAGAATGTTTTTATCTGTGTATAGTTTTGTATTTGGATGGAAAAATGTTATGGCTTTGTCTATTAATATTGTACCAATTACCTCCATACTTATTGCTACTTGTTCGGATTTATTTATCGTTACAGTCGCTCATGACGATTTCTCTGTCGTCACTGTTTATATATTTCTTTCGATATCGAGGTAAAATTCTTCGAGTTCCTCCTTAGTGCCATCTGTAGTGCATATACTGGTGCTAGGTTTATATGAGCTTTATATTAGATTTATATCATATACACATCCAATCGTTAAAAAAAATTGACATTTTTCAACGATGGTCTGTTGGAATTAGAAGTCTCCTTTCGGAATTAGAAGAAATTTAGTAAACGAAAAATGGGTACTTTTACTCTAATCAATCAATTCCAAGGAAACTTTTATTTCTATAGACGTAGCCATTCACTATCGGTCATCTGTGATGCTGCTAATAGCCTACAGCTCGGCTACAGCAGATGAGCGATAGACAAAGAAGGCATAGAGAACAATAATAAAAGAAATTAGTAAAAAGCGTCGATTTTTTTGGCTTTTTTATTTTAATATTTTTATTGGAATAAATACAAAATTAATTTAATACTTACATTTAATATCAGAATTTTCATCTTAAAAATCGTTTGTAAAACTTTCAACATAACGATTTCTTTGATAGAAATCGAAACACCAAATAAGTATAAATTATTTTTAATTAAAATTACTGTTTGCTTGAAATCAAATCTGTATTTGAAAGGTTTGCTATTCACTTATTAAAACCACTTTTTTTTTCTAGGTTTAACCGTTAGCGCCCAAAAGAATGAGTAAGTAGCTTTAAAGAAAAAAAAAGTTTATATAACCAAACAAAGCTTATAGTGTTTATTATAGAACAGTCTTTATCACCTTCCATGCTTGCACAACTCTTGTTCCACCCATATATATATCCACCTCTGCCCATCTTCGATCTCACATCTCACATAAAATTTGTATTATCTTGTAATCTTCCTTCTTATTCGTTGACATGCAATTCTGATAAGCAGTTTTCTTGTTGTTTACTAACGTTTACATATTCTCCGACCACCATTCTTGGTTTTGTTTTATGTTTGTCTTTATACCCCAAAGCTTCCCTTGGAGTCTCATAAATGCATTTTCTTAATTGCTGGTATAATTCTTCCGCTGATGAATTTTCTCGATCCACATTTTATAATTTTTTGGCCTGTTGTAATTTGTTATGAAATTTCTAAATCCGATTTACATTTTTTAAATAAATATAGGTACCTAGTGGGTTGTCTTTTATGTTTTGCATGAAGCCAAATATATTGACTTAAAGTACTTTATTGACTTTCAAAATATATCCCACCAGGATCGACATAGTTTTGCCTATGTTTAAATCAATTGCTAAAACAGTTATTTATAACAATTATAATGCTGATATATTTTTTACATAAAATTAATTTAATATAATTTATTTAATTTATATACTTAAAATCTATTTTTTAGCTTTTATTGTGATACCTGTGTAGCATTTGCATCTGCGATAAAAGAACTCGTAGAAGAAGAAGTTCCTTTGGTAAGTTTTTAAAGTACTAGTCTGCTTTTTAATTTTAAATTTTCTTTATAGCTGTGCTAAAAATTGCAATTTATATTCAATTCAATATGATGATCGTTTGTGTGATATTCTACTTGTAATAATGTACTATCTATATGCAAAAAAAATTAAGAAAAAGTCATGTTTTGATTAAATTTTTCATGGATTTATTGTAAAGTATAAATACCTAAGAAAAAAGTCGTTGGTTATTAATGTTGCTCAAATTATTAAATGCTCGATCAATCGTACCAAACAAATCAGAAAAATGAACTCAAGAATAAAAAATACCGGTGTTAATATATTTATGGTAACACACAAAATAGTTCAAAGTAATTTCGATTATAATAAATAATTTTCTGTTTTCTTTACAGGACAAAATTGAAAAAAATGTACAAATTATTTGTACCATTCTAGCAGAAGCTCTACCAGGGAATATAAAACATTTTTGCGAAAAAGAATTGATTCCAGAAGTCGACAAAATCTACAATGAACTTGACAACACGTCGCCCCAAAAAGTGTGTGAAATTTTAGAATTTTGTGAAACAAATTAATGAGTTAAAAGTGTAAAATAAAAATAAATTTTTGAAGAAAAAGTTTTTTGTTTGTTAATAATAAAATTAATAGACTCTGAATATCATTGTATAAATTAATTCCTTAATAAACCCCCTCTGTGGCTCAGTGGTAAGAGCGCCTACCTTTGAACCTAAAGGTTGTGAGTTCGAATCTCACTTGGGTGGAGAAATTTTCGTTTATTAAAAATTAATGAATGAAAATAATTTCTATCCTTGTGCGATCGGTATTCACCGGAGGGACCGCAGACGTTCGGATACAATAAGCATCTCTTAGCAAAGACAATGACGTCGACTTTGCTAAGCGTCAAGGAAATTACCTTACACACACACACACACACACACACACTACACTAGGTACCTGACTGTAAAAATTCACTGTACCATGCCAATGACCATTAGTTGTCGACGCGTTAAACTCAATAAAAGAAAAAAAAATTCCTTAATAATTCGCTAGATCTTATCTATAGGGTAATAATTTGGATATATTTATAAAGCCATTGGGAGTTTTGTAGGAACAGTTAAATTTGTTTTTAATAAAATATATCCATATTGTGATGTAAGTCACAGGTGCACTTTTTGGCAAAAATTTTCGAACTCAGTTTCAGTGGTAAATTAAAGGAAAAAAAACTTATGAGTTTTAGTAACAAAGCTCATATTGGGATTTTCACGGACAACACGCACAAAAAATTTGTGCTTGTATCCCTATAAAATATAAAAACTTAAAAACGTTTACAACAATGATTAGATTAGATTCTGTTAGAATGATACACACTGTCTGGTTGAAATTACAAACTTTTTCCAACCTGAAAGCAATCTTCCAGTGCACAAATAACCTGTCAAGCGATAGTACGTTGCTGAGAATTTTGCATTTGTATTTCAGATATACGCGCGACTTTTAAGGTAAGTTTATAGTTAGTAAGTTAATATCTGTTTTTTTTTTGTTATAGTTACATTATTCTTATTGTATTATTGATAAAATATTACTAATTCTACGTTGATATCAGAGGTGTGTATCTCTCATATACACGCTACCGTTTGTGGCAATTAGTTCCATTTTGTTTATTTAATTTTTGGAAATGGCGAAAAAAAAAACAGATTTTCAATCGCAATGATCCCACTGATATATAAGCTGTTACAAATTTGAGATGACGATATACGTATGTATGATAGCGATACAGACGAAGGGAACATGTTTTGAAAAATGATGACGATTCTGAGTCCGAATTGACTAATGAAAGTAATGCCGAAGACAAAGCTGATAGTTCAAACGAGGCTTATATAGCTCATCTAAAGAAAAATGGAAAAGTTTTCGACTCATGGATTTGGCAAAAAAATCCAAACAAAAAAAGTAAGCAACCACCTCGCAATATAAGAATCTCATAGACATCGTTCGAATCCTATGACTGAGAGCATTTTTAACTTCACAAATAAGTACATCAGTTAACAGTTCTGTAAGATCAAATTTTTGTCATCCTATAGATGCCAGAGATACAGCCAAACTAGAAATAACAACCCTTTTGGGCTTGCTTTATTTGTGGGCATTTACTATGGTTATCTAGTTAACCTTGAAGATCTATGGAGAATGGATGATTTCAAAACAGTGATGAGTTTATGATGAGTTAAAACAATGGATCGCTTGGCCCCAATAAAAAATATTTTCGAGGAGTTTGTGTCTATTTGCAAAAAATGCTACTCGCTTGGGAAAAATGTTACAATTGACGAAATACTAGAGACCCCAAATACATCCCCAAAAACTTAATAAATATGGGATTCAACTTTATGCCATGGTTGACACTCGCTCTTTTACACTTATAACATGGATCTTTTTTATTTATAAAATGAAAATTTATGTAGAGACTCAAAAAGATGGTCACTTCTCCATAAGCAACAAACCACGAGACGTAGTAAAAAGGTTGGCAACACGTATATTCTGCCTTTGTAGGAACGATAAAAAAATACCAAAGCCCAAATTCCCAATGAATTTAAAGTTAAAAAAAGCGTAAGCCCAATACCAGTATTTTTGGGTTTAGGAAGGACATGACTTTCTTTCCTACGTGCCTAAGCGCTATAAAAACGAATATTAGTTTCAAGCCTATAAACTCAATAGAACATAATAGAAGAACACAATACTCCCTTTAAAATGAGCTCAAAGAAAAAAATTCAAAAAGGAAAGCAGAATTAGGTATCGAGACAGTAGAGGAGGCCACAGAAAGTAAAAGAAGATGTAAGCCCTGTCAAAATGAAAAACGTTCAAGGATTACGCACTTAAGCTGTGAAATTTGTCAGAAATTCATCTGTATGGAACATTTTTAGCATATACAATACAATAATATGTGTAATATCTAGGACACATCTGGGATTTATGACACCGTTGTTGTTTTTAATGAAATTCAATAAAAAATTTAAGAAATATAATATTTCATTACCTACATCTTAAAATAACGACTTAGCATTTAGCGTATCTAGGAGATACATGCGACCATTCTTGTTGGTACAAAAGCCGCGACCGCTGGAAGGTTAATAAATAAATATTTTACTAATGATAATTTTTTGTGGCTGACATAAATATTTTTAATCGAAATTGATTATATACTGACTGTATATATACTGATTGCATATTGCTGACGTTGCATATTGCTGACGTTGCATATTGCTGACGTTACATATTGCGTGTATACTGACTATTTATTGACTAACAGATGTTCAGTGTACCATGGGTTTATCTCTGGTAGGCTGAAGCATAAGCGAAGAAAATTTATCGTCTTATGTGACTGCCACAGTATTTTTATTGGACAGCTTATAGAACACAATGCTTGGAATTTGATTGTGGTGGTCTGACAGTTTGGAATATAAAAGATTGAAATCTTCTGTTAACAAACCAGTCTTATTTTACTAGATATTGACCTGATAGTCGCCATAGTTGCCAAATAATGCGAAGAAACCTTCAAGAATAAGTCTAGGCTTAATGTATGTTTTCTACTATATTGCAGTTTTTTGCAGGATAGTGCTCGATAGCACATATTCAGAGTAGTCTTCAATAAATAAATAAAGTAGCCAGCTTCTTTGTCTTTTTTCTCCACCTTTGACCGAAAAACCCAGCACTCTTTGAGTGATCCTTATTATATTATTATTAGATTGACCGTTATATGTATATATATATATATATATATATATTTATATATAACAATTTAGTGTATTGAAGTATAAATGCTCAGTAATAAATAAACTCAGTAATGGAACTTAAGTCACTACGAATTGCACAATGGAATGCCAACAACCTAGGCAACCATAACACAGCAGTTGCTAACTTTCTTGAATATAACAAAATTGATGTTCTACTCATATCGGAAACCCATTTCACTTACAGATCGATGTTCAAGATCTCTCATTACTCTATTTACAACACCAACCATCTTGATGGAACAGCACACGGTGGCGCTACTATTATTGTACGTACCACCATACCACACTATGAGGAAACAATGCATCAGACGGAAACATTACAAGCTGCGGTAATCTGTATCAGTTCTTAACCATCGCGGCAATGTACAGCCCTCCAAGGCATAATATCACCACAGCAGAATATGAAGACTTCTTTAAACATCTATAAAACAAATTCTTAATTGTAGGTGACTGGAATGCCAAGCATACAGACTGGGGGTCAAGCCTATGTACGACAAAGGGAAAAAATCTCAGACAGGCCATAGCTAACACAAACAGCTCTTCCTTATCTACAGCGCAACCCACTTACTGGCCATCAGATCTAAACAAAATCCCAGATCTACTCGACTTCTTTATCCTTCATAGCATGGCCTTAAATTATTTTAACATACAATCATCCTGGCATCTGTCCACCGACCATACTCCCATAATTTTAACACTACCTACGCAAATTATAAAACGTCCGAATATCCCTAAGTTGACATCATCAAAGACCAACTGGAGTGCTTTCGAGTCTTACATAAATAAAAATTAAATTTAAATATAAGATTAAAGCAACCAGACGATATCGATAATGCTGTGCTTCTTCTCACAAAAACTATACATGCAGCCGCAGAAATAGCTACACTTCCTCAGAATGACAAAGAATCAAGTGACAACAATATACCCCTATACATAAAACGTCTTGTTGCACAAAAAAGAACAGCCAGGCGCATATGGCAAAGAAGTCGCAATCCTATAGATAAAAATGAATACAATAGATTAACACGGCAACTTAAAACTACTCTACAAGACGCGAGGAATGATACATTTGAACTATTCATCAACAGCCTATCAAAGGAAGACCACAGCATCTAGAAAGCAACGAAATCATTCAAGATATCTATACAGCACATACCACCTCTAAGGAAAGACGATGGAAGCTGGGGAAAAACTGAACAAGAAAAGCCATCAATCTTTGCTGCACATCTCTCACACGTTTTTGGTGCACCTGAACTTAATAACCATAATAACGAAGAACAAGTAAAAAACTTCTTAGACACCCCATGCCCCATGATGCTACCAATCAAATGCTGTACTCCTAATAATGTAAAAAAACAAATTTCTTGAAGCAATAACTACAAAGCACCAGGCTTTGACATGATCACCGGGCTAATATGAAAAAAATTACTGAGAAAAGCAATTGTCCTACTAACAATGATATTTAATAGTATCAGAAGATTAGTCTACTACCCGATTGATTGGAAGTTCGCACAAATAATTATGATAAGTAAACTAAATAAACCACCAAATACTATATTACCTCATATAGACCAATCAGTTTACTTCCAACAATTTCAAAAATCTTAGAAAGACTTCTGCTCCAAAGAATCTCAAAAGACATCGAAATTAATTCAGTGATCGCAAACCACCAGTCTGGTTTCCGCGAAGCCTATTCAACTCTACAACAATGTCATAGGATTGTAAAAAAACATTAGTGTATGCCTCGAAGAAAAATAAAATTGCACTGCTGCCTTCTTGGAT